AATATGATTCTTTGTCTTAATACATAGTACAAGAATACAGTAGAGGAATTGAAACAGATACTACTCTTTGATCTCAGCTAGAAGGTCGAAGAATATGCACACTGATCTGTGTGTAGCACAAATGCTTCACTCTGATCCTTGGCAGTGGGCCAGGGAGCCACATCCTGATACTAGTCAAAGTGCACAGATACTGCACTGATCCTCATCAGAAGTGCCAGTCTATATGTAAATAATCCCTTCATTTTTGGTGGGTACTATGCTAGTTCAATACAATCATCATTTTTATTTATCACTTTTTGCCAGTTTTTAGACAAAATCTGCTTTCTTTTTTAACAGGATGTTGTTGATTGTGAATCAAAGAATTTTTTCCGTTTATTATTCTCATTTCAGAAGCTTAAATCTTTCAGGAAATTCTTCAAGGAGCAAGAATGCTAATAACTGGAGGGTACAAAGCTGGGGTGAGTATGATAGTTGTTAATGGTCATCAGTTCAATATATTGTCTTGTATTGGTGTGCAGTTGTTTGTATAATTTTAAGCATTTTACAGCAATTACATTAACAACACTTTGTAGCTGCGCAGAACAACACAGCAAAGTTGCAACGCTTTGCAGTGCACTTTGCTAATGATAGTTTTGTTTGGATCAAACAATTCTTCATAAACAATGCTTTTGTCTGCAACAAGGATTAGCTCACCACCTTTGCACACAAGAATACTCAGGGATGCCTTCAACTGATCCTTGAAGTGTCATTTTGGGTCTCCATGTAGCTTCTTGCCACTGGCGAGCTGATATATGGCAGTTGAGTAGGATGCATTCTGGACATGTGACCCACCCAGCAGAGGCAATGTTGAAGGATAATAGAGAGAGATGTCCAAGACTTTGTTGTTGGTGATATGTTCCTCCCAACTAATGCAAAGGATTCTTCTGAGCTTTGTTTGTTGGAACTGCTCCAGGCCTTTGATGTCCTGATCACACAAAGACATCTTGCAAGCATATATATATTGAAGGTCAAAAAACCAGAAACATGTGTCACAGAATTATGGAAAATAGCGTATAATATATATTTTAAAATAAAAAAAATCCACATTTCGACCAAAAACGTTTCTGGTTTATCTTTTTAAAATTTACACTTTCCTCTCGGTTGAAACAAATATAACCTCTTTCCTATATATATATATATATATATATATATATATACACAGTGAATACACATAGTATCCCACATCAATAGAGTTTCATGCAGTTACACAATCATCAGGTGTTGAACACACGCACACACACACACATATATATATATACACACACAGACACACACAAGTTTGGTTAAAGCAAACAGAAGTTTTTGTTAAGGATTTTTGTTTATTTTCCATTTTTTGTCCAATGTTTGAGCTTTTTCAACTCTATTGTTTTAACAGAGAATTGGGTCAACTCATCAAGAGACTCAGAGTTAGTTGCATGTGGTGCAGTAAGCTCCAAGAGTTACATCCTCTTCCAGAATTGGCTGTTGAAAGAGGACATTCTATTTAGAGTAGGTGGTGCTGATAATATTTGCATATGAATGATACTGAGCAGGTATTAACCAATAATCAGTGTGGGGTCTGGGACTGAGAGAGCTATATAACACAAGTTTTTTTCAGTCGAGGACACACCTTGAAGCTGGCTTTCCTATGCCACACATTGACCGGGGACTTGATTTTGGCAGGGACTGTGAGGACTGCCTTCCCTTACCTTACTCATCTCGAGAACTGAGCACCTTCGTAAGCCCCAGGATCAATTGAGTTTCCTCCTCGAATGTTGATCAGCTTTGAGGGTCATTCCTTGGTCCAGTGACCTTTCTCAACCTAGGTGAGTCTTCTATTGTGAACTAGTGGAGGAGGTCGCAAAGGATCTGCTATGTGGCTGGCTCAGCTTGTTGGCAGATGAATTATGCTCATTTTGGTCTTGGGTACCAGTGGTAAATTACCACAGCAATTTTGAGTTTTCACTTACCTGGTGATTTGTTCAGAATAGGCTATCTCTCAATGATATGGCCTTCATATGGGGCTTGGCAGATTTGCCAGATTGTCAACAATGTGATCTTGGTTTAGAGAAAATGGCTTCATACACCTTCTGACATTGTCCTTGGGTGTGCCCTCTATAGGACTATGTCAGTGAGTTGACGGCTTGTATCGCTCCTGAAAAGCTTGTGCTCATTGATCATGCATACATGTGTGACAATGTATTGCCCCTGTATTCTGGGGTGAAATGGATAGTATTTCTATTGCTGCTAACCATGGCTCAAATGGCAATTTGGATTACATGGATGGAGGAAATCTTGTGATGTGAACATTATTCTCATCAGAATCTAATCTGATTCTTTGAGCATCAGCTCAGGATGAAGATTAGAACTGATAGAATATGTTTGGTATCAACAGATTTCAGTGAAAGGTGGGTAACTATGGCAAGCCTGGTTTCCATGAATGGGGCTAGCCTTGATTTTCTTTTTTAAGTCTCCCTAAGTCACAACAGGGCAGTTTACTGTGGAGCCTTCCCCTGGTTAGGATAGACCTTTATTGTGTACCTAATTAATGCGAGTAAGTGTTGTTCCTGGCCTGTTCTCAGCTTCTTTGGTTATGATTCTAGCTGAGATTCTCAACCTCCCCAGTTTATTTTTTGGTTTCTTTTTCATCCTGACTAGGTCAGTTTCTTTTTTCACATGGCCGTATCTATTTTATCCTTCCCTCTCCCTTAGCAAGAGAGCCTCTTGATTTTGTCTGAAAACAGAATACAGTGGTCTCTTTTATTTCTTTGAGGGTTGAATGGGTCCTACTAATATCATTTATCTTTAGTTCATGTGTTTTGTTAAATTTTAGTTTGTTTTTGGGTTCATCCCCTCCCACCTCATTGCTTACCATCAAGAAATTTTTATTTATAATTTTATACACAAGAACTTTTATGTCATGGGGTGTTTTGTAGGTTCTGTGTGTGTGTGTGTAGGTGTGTGTGTGCACAGTATTGTGGTATATATAAATGATGAAAGATGAGTTTTTTCTTGTGGATATGCAAATTGTAATGAATGAATGGGCCATGAATCTGATTAGCTAGGAATAAGATAGTTAATACTGACCAGCGTCAACCCATTCTTTCTGTTAGGCTTTGTGCCAAAATTGTATTTTTTATATGCAATAAATTTAGTGATGTGAGGACTGATGGAGTTTTGCGTTGGTGTTCATCATTTGACTTTGTTAAGAAAACCAGACAAGACAAACACAAGCATCAGGATATGATATGAGCCAGCTGTTATCCAACCATATTCTATGTGACATTTGAAAAACAATGACTGCTGATATAGCAGGAAAACAAAAATCTATTTGATAATGACTTATGAAAGCTGGACAATTTCTGTAATATCAGTTAGTCTGTTATGTGCCATGTGTGATACATGCTTAGGCGATCATGTATCTTTCGATATATGACTGACGAGGCAAATTTTTTCCTGCAGTAGGTTGCCATTTCTTTCTGCGGTAGATCAGTTGCTATTCAAGGCTATAGAACCCGGTCTGTCCTGCTATTTACCCATAGCTAGTGAGGGGGGGGGGGAGAAGAAGAGGTTTCATACCTTTCCCAAGGGTATTAGCATGTAAGTGAATGTAATGGATTCGACTGGAATTCAAACTTGGCTGTAATATAGAAAAATAAACAAAATATCCTTTCAAATTCAACAAAGAACAAGTACAAAGTTGCTAAAGCTAAATAAATGACTGTCCTTTCCAATATAAGACGATATTGGTAACTCTTTTTAAGACCTTATTTCACTTCTCAGTTTTCATACCTGCTAAAAATATTTTATTTACAAAACAGATGTACATATTTTTAAGTAAAGAACAGAAATCTAAATTATTAACAAGAAAAGTATAAAAAAAACATTGCAGATATCAATGACGTAAGTTTCAAGACACATTTGTAATTAAAATAATTAAGTCCAGATAACTCTGCCGATGTCAGACATCGATTATTTTTTTTTATCATTTATGATTGCATGAACAGGATCTTGTTCTGAACTGTTGACAAATCAATATTTTTCGTTTCTGACAAATGGCGTGACTTGAGGGAGGTCTAATGAATGCTAATCTAGAAAAATTATTCTCCGAAACAATTTTCCCTTTTTTCTACAAGTGGACCAGTCTACTTAAGTAGTGTCGGTATAAATATTCCCACCCATTTATTTTATCAACGATTGCGGTTTCTTTGAACTGACAACACCACAATGGTGATCAAAAGGTGTGTGTGTTGGGGGAATAAAAAGTCGCGCTTGATATAGCTTTTTTTAATGTTAAAAAAAAAAACAAACTTCGTTTTAGCTTTTTAACCGACAAAGAAAGCAGAAAAAAAAAAATTTCCAGAGTAAAGTTAATTGACGGGTCATTTTTTTTTGTCTCTCAAAAAATTCGTGTCAGAGATTGCAGTTGTAAAATTAATGAATAGTAAAAAAAAACATTGAAAAGTATGAAAAAATTGCGTGTTAAATTAATTTTAAATTAAGAAAATATCAGCCTTTCCTCATTCACAAAATAAGCCTAGATTACTACACTAGTCATGTCAACATATTGTAGAAAAATATTGTAATCATACTGTTGTTTCTAAAACTCATTACCACGTGTCACTGATAAAATAACACTTCCTCAAAAATGACATAAATAAATGCAACAATAACTTGTCCCTTTCTTATCGTTCTCTGTCAATGTCTGCACGACGCATTCAACTACTAATGCCCGAGGAAATTCGTATTTTCAAGCAAATACAACGGTTACTACCGCATTGCATAATGTTTTAAAATTCTTTTTGAGATCTCAATTGAATCTCCTACTACAGATCCATATAGGTTTTTGAGCCACTCGTGTTGGATAGTATAATGACTGCTCCCTTTAAAATCCGGTTCCCTGCCCTCACAGTCGCAGCTGATGGAGCTATCTCCACCTTTGTTGCGGGTCGGTAGGTGAATAGAAGTAAAACGGCTTGAAAATGGCCTTTCTGGAGTCGTGTAACGCCAACGAGAGGGAGAGGTAAGTAAAAAACACCATATTTTTCTGGGAGATCATTGTTTTGGATGTCATTTTTGATAGCTTTTTCAAGATTCTTTCATGTTGTCTTGTAATGCGATACACACACGCTTCTGTCATACATAATAATAAACAAAAATAAATCTAAACATTTGTTGTTTTTTTTTTAAGCTTTTACTGACAGCTCGACAACAAGTGGTAAAAAATAATTGTTTATTCATTAAAAAAAATTATTTTCTCTTTTTGGGAAGTAGAAGTAATTGATAATTTAAAACGTCACAAAAACAAAACATGAACATAGGAAAAAAAAAAGAAGACTTCATTGTTGAAAAATAAAATAAATTTTTCTTTCATTTAATTCAGTTGTATAATAGAAGTAAATTTTCGAATTTATACATTTTTAACTTAAAAAAAAAATGTATAAAAATTTAAAAAATTGCTTTAAGTAATTTTTTTAAATAATTTATATTTTATTTAAAATTCCGACATTAAAAAAATATTTTTAAAAAAAATCGAAGTTTTGTTTTAATAATTTTAAAAATAGATTTTTAATTTTTCATTTATGATTTATTTCTATTTTTTGTAATAATTTTACAATGTTCTTGTTACAGTTACAATGTTACCATTATTTTTACTTTTTAGCTTCTTTTTTCTGCCCTATTTTTTTTTTAATTCACTCTTTATTCAATTCATTTTTATTTTGTTTTTTGTTGAGGAATTTGACTGTCAACCTTTTTATTTTAATTTTATCTGAAAAAAAATCAAAAAAAAAATCGCATTACTCGATAAATTTACAAAATAAATATCAAAGAAATTAAAATTAAAAAGCAAAAAACATTTCTATCGTAAATAATTATCTAAATTTGACAGCACAATTAATGCCATTATTAATTTAATGGGCATTCTCGTAAAGAAAAAAATAATGTAGTTATTGTAGTAGTGACGTTAAATTTGTTTTTAAAATCGAAGTTTATATACTTAACTTAATTAAACCATAATTAATTAATGACTTTTTTTATGCTTTAATTATATTTTCTTTTCTTAGTTTGTTTTCTTTCTCAGCCTGTTGCTACATACGAATAAATTCTACCAAGAATTAATAAAAAAAAAAAAAAATTAGTGACTTTGTTTAAATTTATTAATATTGCAAATTGTTGTTGGTTGATGTAACGGAAAATTACCACAAGGCAAATGTAAAAAAACAAACAAAATAATACTTAATTGTACTAAAAAACCCCCCCAAAAAAACCCTTACTGGGGAAAACAAGTGTCACAACATTTAAATAAAATTTCTTGTTCATTATATCTTGTTATATTTTCTTGCTTTCATTATTAGTTTTACTTTTAATCTTTTAAATTTGAATGAAAGAAAAAAGCTGATTTATTTCAAAATTAATTTCGTTTTCGTTATTGAACGATGCAGTACTTTCAACTGTTTCCAATGTCGCTTAGCAACATTTTCAGCATTTCTAAAATAAAATGTTAAAATTTATGCAAAAACAAGTCATTATTGCTACTTTTTAGAACTACAGGTGTCCTAAATATTGCGTCTGCTAAGCGGAAGTACGTAATTCCTAGATATATTCTTTCTTTTTGGTTCAACAACCCGACTCGCATCAATCAGCCTTCCCTTCACAAACCAAACCATTCGAAACCTCGTTTAAATTCTTATTCATTTGCAACGTTATCTTTTTTTTTTTTTTTTTTTTTAAAGAAAAAATGTGAACGCAACGTTAATGCAATCTTTACTCTTTTTTAGTCTTCTTATTAACCTAAATTAAAAAAAAAAAAATCGTGTAATATTGGAAATCGTTCCTTATTGTGTTCTATAAAGAGAATAAATGTAAACATTATTATTAAAAATTAGTCTTGAAGAGAAAAAGAATTTTTCTTCAAGGATCGGAAATGCTTTCTTTCCAGACGAAATTTGGGCGCTAGTGGTGCGTCAAGGTTGTTGGCATAGAAAATGATATTGATAAGTTCGAATTTCTGTTCTTTAGGAAATTGTATGAATCCGTTTTTCTTCCTATGGCCTGTTTCCATCGTTTAGATATCTTGATAAGAATATCTGGTACTGTTATGCAACGATAGTTGACCAAGAAGAGAAAACTAATTGTCACAACTATCTTATCAACCCAAGGCAAAAAAGGCAAAGCTGTTACCCTTATTGCTAATCTTCACAGGATCAGGCCGTATTATATTTTGGGGCCCTTAGGTTAATGAAAGTATGGGGGTACTCCTCAGATGGAGTCACCCTTTAACTCGCTCGTACTCGGCTTGAATAGTTTACTTGTGATAGTGACATAACTTGAAGTAAACTAATTGCAAATTCTTTCTATAAACTAGCTTTTTTTTGTTGATAAAAATATTCTTTAAGAAATACCACTATTGCAAATCAAATTAGCGCATATTTCAGCACAACCACAGTAAGAAAAACAGTGAAAAAAAACAAACTTTTTTATAACCAGCATTAAAACGATCAAAATAAATATGAGTTTGTCATATTGATATCATTTCAGTTTATGAAACTATTTAGAAGTTATAACATGTAGAAAATTAAAATCATTGCTTCATAAAAGCTTGAGGGATTCTAGGCTGCTGCCTATACTAGTCTAAAGGATAATCTGGCCCTAGACATGGAGTCAATAAGATTTTGAGGAATTCAGTCACCTTATATATAATCACACAGAAGTACGTATCTCTCAATATACTAAGATGGCACACTGGAAAAAGTGCTCAATGCCACAATGACAGAGCATTTGTCTGTCATATGATATATTTAAGATTTTGATAGTTCAGTTCTTATGCTAATTTGAGAGGAGAAATCAACTCAAAATTTTTGTTAAAATTAGGAGGAAGTGTATAAAAATTACCATTTATCATCAACATCTTTGTGCGATTAATAAAGAAAGAAAGATTGGAGAAATTTCTGTTATTTGTATAAAATCAGTTTTTTAATAAGGCATAATAGGGAGGGACAAAGATGTAAATGGCTAGAAATTACTTAGAGCAGCAAATGACAGAAAGTTGGGGAGAGCCTGAAAGGTTAGGGTACATAAAAAAAGATGACAGTATGATAAAAATATAAATCTTCTTTTAATTCATAATCATAAAACTATATTGATTTTATAGTTATAAAATAAGTAATATTTTAAACTTTACTGAAAATATTACATATTTTAAACTTTACTGAAAATATTACATATTTTATTATTATTAACTAGTTACTTATGGTATAAAAAAATGAAAATTTGATCTTGTACAAACATTGAACACATCCACAAAGAAAGGAAAAGAAGAAAGCAGATAAAGTGTAAATCCAAAATTCTATAATCCAGAAATAGTTGTGATTTACAAAATTTTTTTCATTTTTTAGTTTAGTTTCTTTTTATGAATAGTTTTCATATAACAAGGCACAATATTTCTTACTGACTTTAACTTGAACTGTTATGTCCAACTGGTACTTAGACTCTCACATAGACTCTCTCTCTCTCTCTGACTGACTCCTCTTTTCAATCTAGAGATTACTGGATGCTCTATACGAATGAGTTGAACAAGAATAAATCCTCAATCCCTCCTCTTTTCAATCAGTTTGAAGTAATGAATGCTTTTCTTGGAAATTCTCTTCCAACTCTACTCTTGACTCTTCAGGAGTATCTTGATCAGCCCCCAAGCGAACAGAATCTCTACTGAGTGATATGCGCATAATTCCATCTATGGTTTCTGCTATCATCTCTAAACTAAGCCTCCACAAGGTTTGTGGACTTGATGGTATCCCTGCAATTGTTCTAAGGAAATGTGCTTCTGAACTGGTTTATGTTCTCTCCAAATTCTATAATAAATGCCTCATTGCTTCTTGCTTTCTAGGTTGTTGGAAGTCCTCCACCTCTGTAGCTCCCATCTTTAAGAACTCTGGTGAACCTACTAATTTCTTGAATTAGCCCCCTATTAGTCTTTTACCTTTTTATTTTTGGCAAAGTACTAGATACTCTAATCAACTTCAAATTGGTTAAGTATTTCACTTCATATGGCCTTCTTTTGGATAAACAATATGATTTTTGTTTCTCTAGGTCTACCACTGTAGTGTTAATGTTTATTACTGCATTTGTTAATTAAGCTTTAGATAAGAACTGTGAATGTCAGACTGTGGCTTTCAATATCTCAAAGGCATTTGATAGTGTTTGTTATGCTGGTCTTCTCCACAAGCTCAAGGGCTGTGGTGTCTCTGGATGAATATTTGGCTTAATACAATTGTTCTTAACAAATCATGTAATGAAGGTTGTGTTGAATGGCCAAGTTTCTAGCTCATTTCACATTAATGCAGGAGATCCCCAGGGCTTTATCCCTGAACCTATGTTGTTTCTTCATCAGAGACCTTCCCAATGTCATCAGTTCCCAACTATGTATTATGCTGATGATATAACTATTTACTCCTGTCTTAATAGTAAGTTTGATAGGTCTGACAAAGTAAAACTGGCAGCTGCTCTTGATAATTACCCCTAATCAGTTGTTAGTTTGGGCAAGGAATGGCTTTTAAATTTGAATGCCTTCAAAATGAAACGACTATCTTTTAATCACTATAAAGAACCTTTTTTTTTCTTTCTATCAGCATGACTGATGATAACCTCCAGGAGAGCAATTCATTGTGCTTTCATGATCTCACATTTTTCATTGACATGAACTGCAGTGATTATATTGAATCAATTGCTAGGTCTACTGCTGGGAAAGTTGATACATTGTTGTGCCAGACAATTTTTCTCATTAGAATCCATCTTGCACATTTATAAATCTACTATTTGTCCATGTATTGCATAATAAAAAACAACATATCTCATGCATGAGCATTATAGACACAATTTGTTTGAATAGTTAGCATAATGCTCAATTCACTTTGAAAGTGTTAGTTGAAAGGTATATAATTTCTAATAACTTAATAACTATACATGGTTAAAAGCTGAAACTTTTGATATTTTGATATATGTTCTAAGTGCTGTGTAAATTTT